TTCGAGGCCAGTCTGGTCTATAAAGAGAGTTCCAGGACAGTCAGGCAGCCAGGGCTGTTACATAGAGAAACCCTGTCTCGAAAGAACACAGCAAACAAACAAACAAGCAGAGAAGCAGGCCAAAAATTGTCAGACAAATGTAAAGCATCAATTTAAAGACAGGTGTAGCTCTAAATGCTTTAGAAAACAAAGTTTAAAATCAGCGATCTAAGGTTCAACTTCAGCTAGAGACAAAGGAGCAAATTAAAACCCAAACAAGAAAGCAGAAGTGAAAGGGATATGTCAGGGAAGCAGAGTAGACTGAAGTAAAAACAAAAGCTGATCTTTGACAAGAGCAGTGATAACTCACTGCTAAGAGGGGTGGAGGGAAAACCCCAGCACGGGTCGGTTCTGACTCCTGCACAGAGCAGGCATCCAGTCCCAAGAGCCCACGCAGAGTCCACTTGTGTTTAACTTAGGAGAGGACGGCAGTGCAGTTGCACCTCTGGGAAAGGCCTCGGCAGGACACAAGGATCTTTCTGAGCAGAGAGAATGTCCTGTAGGGAACTGAGCTATGGTCATGGGAATGCCTAGGAGCCAAGACTCCAACTATACATAATCAATCTTCACTTCACCATATTTAAATGACCTTATTTAAAAATTAGGTCAACTTTGTATTTCCCTCCACGTCTACACTTCACATCCATTCACTCGGTTTCCTCATCTCACCCGGTTTGAATCCCACACAGAGCAAGCACAGCCTCCTCACCACCCTGCGGAAACATTTCTGAGCCCAGCTCTGCTGTTCACTCAGCACCTTGTCGGCACTCACAGCAGTGGCCACTCCGCCACACCCTGGCTTCTCTCCCTCTCACTCATCCGCTCTGCGCAGATGCTTACATCTTGATATCCCCTCTCGGGTTCCCAGAATAACTTCAGTATTACAATATCTTAAAATAATTCATAGTTTCTTCCCGAACCCTCCTGCCTCATCTTCACTATTTCCTACTGGCATGTACTACAACTGTCCTTCCCTAAACCTACTCAAGTCTTTATTTCAGTAATGGCAGTACCTAGTTTAAGGAGAAAAAAAACCTTAAGTAAAAAAAAAAGTCCTGGAGCCAATGGGGTGATTCCATAGCTAAGAACGCATGAGCTGCTCTTACAAAGGATCCAAGTTCAGTTCCCAGCACCCACATCAGGGAGCTCACAGCACCTGTAGTTAACTCCAGCTCCAGGGATCCAACACTCTGTGTTCTGGTCTCCTCAGTCACCTGAACTCATGTGCACATACTCCCACCCCCCACCCAGATATACACACATGCACTTAATATAAAACTTAAAAAAAAACAAAACACCTAAGGCTTCCCCCTTTCAAAACCTATGCCCAGTCCTTGTTGTTTTCTCTCTTAAGTACAATTTTTGATACTCAATTCATTTCTATTTTTGTTGCCATCAGTTAATCAAATCTACACTGTCTGACACCATGCCTATGCTCTAGAGATCCAGCCTGTCCGCCTCCATTTTGGGCTCCCTGCATCAAGTTGCCTACTGGATGGCCAGGGGAACCACAGCTGCTCTGCACTGCTCTGTGAACGAGCTCCAGACCGATGCATGGCCTAGCGAGCCAGGTGAATGACTTCAGGTGCTCTCCAGTGTTTGTGGCTTGCTTTCTGCTGCTACCTTCACATCTATGATGCCTTCCTCCTCTTTCTTGCCTCACGGACATTTCTACACACTATTCCTTCTGTTCATAATCTTTTCCTTGGCACCTAACTGCTACAAATTATTCCAATTTTAGCTTAGACTACATTTAGAAAACAAATGTCATGGTCTGGCTGCCTGCTCAGAACACCATGTACCCTCCACAGCTTCTGCCCCATGGACTAGCGCAAGAGCATGATTATGCCTGACTGATTACCTAAGCACTTCCTTATGCACTCAGTCAGCTTCAGTATATGAATGCAAGGACTACATCTGATCTCAATCCATCTATCTACAGCCTCCCATAAACCTCTGGGTGGTACAGTACCTAACAGGACCTCATAAATATTTCTTTTTTTTTCCTTTTTTCTTTCTTTTATTTTTATTTTTTAACTTCCTTTCTTCTTCTTCTTCTTCTTCTTCTTCTTCTTCTTCTTCTTCTTCTTCTTTTGGGTTTTTCAAGGCAGGGTTTCTCTATTACAGTCCTGGCTGTACTGAAAGTTGCTTTGTAGACCAGACTGGTCTCGAACTCAGAGATCTGCCTGCCTCTGTCTCCTAAGTGCTGGGATTAAAGGCGTGCACCACCACAGCCTGGCAATATTTCTAAATGAATTTAAGAAGAATCAGGAATTATCACTTCTAAATGAAGGAACATGGACTTTGGTCCCATATGTCAAACAACCACTTCATCAAATGCTGTTTCTAGGTAGATATCCATTTCACCCCTCTTCCCTCAGCAGGCTCCACAACTCTGCAGCATTGGAGAACACAGTGTGAGACGTGAGGGACAGTATGATCCCGGAAAGAGGAGAGAGAAGAGAGGGCGCAGATAATGGATCACTGGTTAGGTGTGAGGCCAGAGTTTGGATCCCTAGCCCCCTATGTGCTGCCTATGTGCATTCTGGGAGCCAGCCATTTGGGTCAACTAAGGAAACGGGCCAGTTCTCAGTTCAGAGTGAGACCTCGTCTCAAGGAGTAAGGTAGAGTGATTGGGGAAGACACCCAGTGTCAGTCTCTGGCCTTCAACACACATAAATATAAATGTGTGTGTTCACATGTGTGGTACACACACACACACACACACATACACACACACCACAGCCTTACACTAAGATTCCTGCACCCTTATATCTGGCTAGGGTGACCAACTTCAGTTCAAAGGGTTATTTTAACTTTAAAGATATTGTTTTGTTTCCCAGCCTCTGCGGAGAATAATTTGTCATTATTTTAAAAACAGATCTTTAAGTTTCTGATGACTATGAGGGAATCTTATTCTCTTTTATGTAAACCTTACTCTTTTCTTGTCACGTTTCAAACACACAGACCGGAAAGTTTTAATTTACCTAATCATATGTCTAAAAGGAGTAAGAAGACACAAAAGATGAAATGGGAAAATCCCTCCTCGCCAAAGAAGAGTTACACACAGGTTAGATGCTAAAAGACCACAACTTCAGAGCCTAAGCATGCCCAGAGACAAGCCCTAAAAATACACAAATAAATAAAAATTTAAAAAATGAGTCATAAATATGTAACTTTTTTTCCTCTGTTTTTTTGAGATTCTGTCTCACTAAAACAGTGTTTGAAACTTTGAAATCATTTGAATCAGCTTTGCATACATCCAAGTGTTTGTATTCCTGGTGACTCATGGAAGTGTTCCCATACCAAGTCTCTTTCTGTTTGTTTGTTTGTTTGCTTGCTTGTTTTTTGAGACAGGATTTCTCTATGTAGCCCTGGCTGTCCTGAAACTCACTTTGTAGTCCAGGCTGGCCTTGAATTCACAGAGATTTGCCTGCCTCTGCCTTTCGAGTGCTCGGGTTAAAGGTATGGCTACCAAGTCTTCATTACTTGAATTTTCAACACTGCTGGATAGAAAGAAAGTCACTTACTGGAAAGAAAACAGCTTTCCTTTCTATTTCTCTAACGTGTGCGGCAAGTCAAGAGATCAGATCAGCAACCAGAAGGGCAAATCCCGATACAGTTACTCTGCCTTTTGCTTTCTTAAGTCGCAGCAACATGCTGAGTGCTGGGATGTGAAGATGACTTATCTCAGTTAGATCATCGCTGATGGCCTTTAAACATGGAGCAGCTGACCAGCTGCAGCAGGTGCCTCAGATGGAATCATTAAGATGGTGTAGTTAAGGTGTCACGTGTTGGCTCTGCTAATCATTTCAGAAGACTAGTCAAGGTCTCTTGTTTCCAGCCAGTATTACTGAGACAATTCAGAATCCACCATCAGTTATGAAATAAGGTGGTTCCTAAGTCATTGTTAAGGTACTAAATGTCATAAGGAAGCAATTCCATCAGGTTGATGCGGAACTAATTGTACAGACTATGAAAGGTTCTGGCATCAGTATCCACCTCCATTCACTGAGGATCAACAGATACTCAAGGAACTGGCTGCCACTGGAGGTGTGACAGCGGCCTTTACACATCTCTAACAGGTGCTACCACCCATAGTGACGCTGTGATTTTCAGGCCTCCAAGGGTGGAATCCAGCGGTCTATACTTAACAAAGCCCCCAGAGCTCAAGGCTCAGACCTGTGGCCCTGTAATACATCCCCTCCCTCTGTATAGCAGAAGCCTGAGGTTCAGAGAAGAAGGCGACATACAAAAGGTGCTTACTTTTCATGGCTTATCCACAGGGTTCAGGAAGAATCTGACATATAACATAGCCCTCTAAAGATTATGTGAAGAAATGAATGAATCCTCCAAAGGAGTATGCAGTCACCCAATTATAACAGCCAAACAAAATCCTAATTAGTGGAAAATCCTAACTAGTGGAAAATGTACCGATTATTAAGAAAAAAAAATTTTTTTTTTCTGAAAAGAGAACATTCATCACGACACAAGAAAAATTTTTTTTTGGTTTCAAGACAAGGTTTCTCTGTGTAACAGCCCTAGCTGTCCTGGATCCTGGAACTTGTACTGTAGACCAGGCTGACCTCAAACTCAGAGATCCACCTGCCTCTGCCTCCTGGAGTGCTGGGGTTAGCAGTGTCAGCTACCACTGCCCAGCACTCAAGAAATTTAAATTTCACAGGGGCCAGTGAGATTATTTTCTGGGCTGGTGAGACAGCTCAGGGAGTAAAGGTTTAACATGTAAGATTCATCATCTGATTTAGACCCCCGACTGCACACAAGAGGGAGAAGGAGGTGACAAACCCCGTGAAGCTGTCTTCTGGCCTTCACAGGAGCACCTCGGCCTGTATGTCTGGCCCCACCCACCACCACAAGAAGCAATAAATCCGGTTTCTGCCGCTTGCCGAGGGAGGGGAATCCCAGGGCGAGCCCTACTGGAGCTACCCGGCTTTGTGCACCTTGTTACTTTGCCTGAGTTTGTTCAGCTCCACCTTGTACTTCTCCGCTTCTTCAAGAGCGCGATTCAGGCGAACTTCTGTGGCACTCTGACTTATAGCGGCCTGTTTTTGTGATCTTCTTTTATTTTCTAATTCCTGTGTAGTTAAAAATACAGAATATTGAAATGCCATCAGTTCCCTTTTACATTTTGCGTTGTTTCATTTCCAGGCTTCCTGCTTTTACTCACTTGGGGCTGCAGGCCAAGCATCAGGAGACACAGTTCTCAGGAGTGTCACCCCAAACTGGCACTAGAAAGACACCTAAAGATGGAGTTGCAAATGCTTTGGTAGTTTTTTAATTCTATCCTCTAGTTCTCAGCGGGGGAGGGTGGTGGTGTCTGCTGTGTTATTATTATGCCCGGGTTCACATGCAAAGCAAAGAGCCTTTACTGAAGCTCAAGCATGGGCTCTCCATGCGTTCTGACACTGCGGTTGGATTGGGAGAGCCTCCAGCTCAGTTGAGCTCGTGATTTTAAGGAGTAAAGAATGGGGGGAGGGGATAGGTGAACTCCTGCTTGGGCAGGAGTGGGACAGCAAGAGTCTTGTCAAACAGGGATTGGCACTGGCACTGCTGGAAGGAAATTGGCAAACCTATATACAAGTTAGGTAAGCTATTTCTAACTTTCTGGAGCATCTAGTACTAGTTTATCTCAATTCTGATTGGTCCCCATATGGCACAGTTTGTGGCTTTTCCTGGTTATTGTAAGGGTAAGACTTAGCCCCAGTGTGCACTGGTGTCAAGTTAGGTCTCTTCAATTACGTCTGTACCACTTGTGTGGCTGGTGCTTTTTGGAGCCCGGAAGAAGGCCTCAGACCCCGTGGAGCTGGAGCTACAGATGGTTGTGAGCTACTATGTGGGTACTGGGAATTGAACCTGGGTCCTCTGGAAGGACAGCCAGTGCTCTTAATCACTAACCCATCTCTCCAACCACAACTAATGTTGTTCTTTTGTTTAATATTTTCTGCCTCACGTTGATTCAAAACACTGTATAATTATTGTCCATACTTATTTTAGGAGTAAACATTTTAAAACTGAACTGTTAGGAGACAGGATCTTGCTGTATGTTCAGCCCAGGCTGACACTCTAGACCCTTCTGTGTCTGGTTCCTTAGTGCTGAGTTTATAGGCATATGCCTGAAGCATTAATCTAATTAATCTTATTCTTAATAAAGAATTATTATTCTTTATTAATTATCAACTGTTGGGTGGGGAGCCCAGAAGATCAGAGAACCAGGAGCAGCCGCCAGCTGCTTCCTTCCCCTCTCGTTCCTCAGTCCAAAAGGGGCTCAGATCCTGTCTCCATCCCACCTTATCCCTTCCTGTCTCCACCTCCCAAGAGCTGGGATTAAAGGTGTGTGCCACCACTGCCCAGCTTCTATGGTTCACTAGTGGCTAGCTCTGCTCTCTGGTTTCCACAAAAGCTTTACTGTCAGAACACAAACACAATACCACACAACATACGCCTCTAAGCCTAATTCACTCACGGTCTTCTGGAAACACCCCAAAGTCCTGGTTAGATACCACTTGCCCATGAATATTGCTCTTGTGGAGAACTGACAAAGTCTACCGCTTGAAGAAACGAAGGATAAATGGAGGGTTGCATATTAACCCCACTAGGAATTATCCAACTTGAGGAGTAACAGCATATCTTGTATTTGTGCCAATATTCTACGGTAGTTTGTTGCTGAAAAGGGACAGCTAACAATCCATCTCATGAACTGTGAACTCTGTGGTTACCAGGCCCCTCCCCGCCACACTTGCTCCATCAGGGGCTCCAACAGCACTGGGATCTCTCCCTGGACTTGAGTTCTCGGCCTCCAGTCCCCAGTTACCTAATCAGCTCCTACACACGGTGCCCAGGCTCCACCTAGGCGCTCAGCAGGGCTTGAACTCCTTCCTGGTATCGTCCCTAGTCCTTACAGCAGACATGGGCTGGATTTGGTGCCTTTCCTTCAGGACTTCTAGACTAGCCTGATACAGGCTAGCACACCATTTGCGGCAGGTACCAAAACCATTCACCTGCTTGGTTCTCCCACTGAAATGTAAACTTTTAAAGTTATCAGCTGTTTTCATTTCCAGCATTGTAGCTGCATGTAAAAGGCACTAATAATATCTTTATAAAGGCTGGAGAGATGTATCAGTGCTTACAGAATTTGCTGCTCTTGCAGAGGAACCAAGTTTGGTTCCCAACCCCTGTACTGGGACTCACAACTGCCTGTAACTCTAATTCCAAGAAACTGATGCCCTTTTCTGGTCTTGGACATACAGGTAAGCAGATATATATATATATATATATATATATATATATATATATATAACAAATATTTATTATTAATAATAATTAATAATTAAAATGACTCGGGCTTGTCCTGTAGTATTGAATACCCATACTATACCCCATACAACACACAATGGTCTGGCTGGCCCAGAGCCTCCAAAGAGCACTCGGTAAATGTAACAATCACTGTAGAGCCGGAGCTCACTTGAATGTGACGTTTGTCTTTTTAAATATTTCTTCCTTGGCTGTATCACATCATCTTTGAAACCCATCTCTGTGGCTTTGAGTAATTAAAGGGAAAAACAAAACAAAACACATGCTGCTCCTTCTGTAGGTCTCTAAACAAATCAAGCTGCGCCTGGCTGCCATCTGCTGTCACAGCCTTCCGCACAGCTTTGTGGGAGGCAGCGATGATGGCTCCGCAGCTCGCTCACTGTTCACATGGGGAAAAAAGCTACTAGTTTTAAAACCCTCAGTGCCGACTGCTTCACACCAGCTGCGATAAGAGGAGTGCGATAAACCTTTGCCCTTCTCTTTTGCTGGTGACTTTGTAACTTCCTTCTCAGAAAGCTGAAAACGTCGCCTCCTTGAAAGCGTGAAAAGTACAGCAAGGAGAAAGAAGAGCAGAGTTTCTCCACGTAAGAAAATCCACCGGAGAAAGCGAAACAGAGTTTAAAACTTTGAAAACATTTGTTTTTGTTTTCAATCACACACTGGTAACTTTTTTTTTTTTTTGATACAGAGTCTCACTATGTAGACCAGGCTAGCCTCAAACTCACAGAGATCTATCTGCCTCTGTCTCCCAGGTGGGTTATCCAAGCTGGAATAAAAGGTTGGACCATCAATCCCAACACTACATCCTGGTAACTTTTTACAGCATGCAGAGAAGACACACTGCATCCTGCAAACAGATAAAATTGCAACAAACAAACCAGCAACAAGCAAACACATTGCCAGATAAAACTTTACAGAAAATCTCAAGTCTTCAATCTTGTTGTAAAAGTCTTGAACTGGGCCCCACAGTCAATGACATGATAATAAAATGAGGAAAATCAGTATTTCCCATGTTATTACCTTCATGAAAAAAGACATTTATTTCCTACTATACATAAAATTAACTTTAAATAGATCACATGTATATGATTCATATGATGCTGATATATATAAACTACATGAAATACTTAGAAGAAAGATTCTCATGGCTTTGGAGCAGGCAAAAGTTTCTGGGAAGAATGAAAAACCAGAAATTCCAAGAAAATATAATATATAAAATTTACCAAAAATTTAAAACTTCTGCCTTTTGGAAACACATGGTAAAAAACAAACAAACAAACAAACAAAAAAAAGCAAAGTCAAATGACAAGAGAGTATACAATACGTGAGGGGATTACAGTGGAGGCAGGAAACGCCCTCCAGCCTGGTCTTGTCACATGTGCAGACGGACCACAGAGAAGCACACACATGGCACATGACAACATCAGCACCCACACACACTGCAAAGGCACACTGCTCCCTCTCTAGAGCTAAGGCAGTGATGCTGGCAGGACCACGAGCTGGGGACACTGTTGGAACACAGGCAGGAATTTCAGGTGTGGCAAGCATTTTAGAGCACAGGTTAACAGGTTCCTTACATGTTTATTTATTGTTTTTTTTAATTTAGCTGGTTCTTTTTCCCCAGACAATTCATTAGCCGTGGGTGGCTGATGAATCCCACAGGACTCATGCTGGCCTCAAACTTCTGTTAATCCTCCCGACTTTACCTTCTGAGTAATGGGATTAATTACAGGTACCACCACACCTGGAAGTTTCTTAAAATGTTTTAACATAGACTTTCTCATAAAAATCCAGAAATTCTGTTCATAGGTATTTATCCAACGTCATGAGAATAGATATGCACGCACAAAGACATGTGTCTACGAAAAATGGAAACAGTGACATCATTTGTAATTACTAATTTAAAATGTAGTGTATTTGTGAATAAATACAGAGCAATAAACAAAAACATGGAGCGTGTAAAAACAAAAACAAAAACAATAAAACAGCTGAACAAAAGTGACCAGACTTAAAAAGTGCACTTCAATGACGACACCTATATGAAATTTTAGAATATTAAAAAGTATACTTCAATGATTACACCTATATGAAATTTTAGAATATTAAAAAGTGCACTTCAATGACTACACCTATATGAAATTTTAGAATATTAAAAAAAAAAACCTGAAACCAAAAACCCACTGTGCAGTAGAAGACCGTGGCTCGGCATCTCCCTGGGATGGTGTGGGAAAGAATGCAAAGGAAACCGGCAGGGGACAGAAATGTCCTTTCCATTAGCTGAATTGGTGGTTAATGTCACGTCCATCGTATCCAGTGGATTAGCTTGTCAGAAGACAACATTACTACATTAGTCCTCTGTGTGGGAACAAAGGAAATCTTTTCTATGGTATGTGCCAGAGAACACACTACAGAAAGGGAAACTGAACATGAATGGTTAAGCAAACTGCCAGTGATAGGGTAGTAGCAGGGCAGGAATCAAACTATTTGACTCCAAAATCTGAGCCCTCCACGTTGACAAATTAACTCACTAAAGTGTATATTTAGAACAAATACATTTTATTGGGTTTTTTTTTGTGTGTTGCTGTTTTGTTTTTTGAGACAGGGTCTATGTTACAGTGGCTGTCCAGAAATTTGCTATATAGAATAGAGTGGCCGTGAACTCAGAGACCCACCTGCCTCTGAATCCCAAGTGCTGGGATTAAAGACAGAGGTCATCACACCCAGTCAGTAAAGATAACTTTTATTAAATTTCTTTACTGCATGTGTGAAAGTGTATGTTTATATGAGGGGGCACCCACGGGTCACAACACTCATGTGTGTGTGCGTATGCGTGTGTGTAAGTCAAAGGACAACATTTCTGCAAGGAAGGTCCACAAATGGGAAATTAATACATCGTCAGTCATTGCTCACACCAGTGGGATGCTAACCAAGAGGGGCAGCTGAGGTGCGGAGAGCTGGGCCTTCACGCTGCTTACAGGGACCAGATGCAACAGCACTAGGAAACAGCTGGCGGCTGTCCCTGTGAAAGGCTCCGGCTTCAACTCCAGCATTTCAAGATAAATAAACAATAAATTTAATATATGTCACATATACAGAATATACTTGACAATTAAAGAAGAATTGAACAATTAGTGTTGTAACATGAATGAACAGTAAAAAAAAAACAAGCAAAATTCTTTAATAAGAGAAGTCAATCACAAAGACTGTATATTATTTGAGTCTATGTACAAGGAAATTTCCAGAACAGGTAGATTTACTGAGACAGAAAATAGAGAAGTAGTAACCCAGGGCTGGCATGGATGAGATGTGGGATGTGGAGGCTGAAAGGTAAGAGTCATCTTTTGGAGGCTGTGAATATGTTCTACATTTGAGAATGAATTTATGAACATACTAAAAGCCACTGAACTGCATACTTTACTAGGAGGTGATTACTGTATATGTACCTCAAAGAGTTGTCAAACATTCTGTTTTAGGGGGATGTTTTCATAATTATTAACCAGAGTGTGTTCTAACAGCTTCAGTGTGTCCTCAGCTCTGAGTCGGGAGAAAAGGAAGACTCACCCTCTCTACCGACGAGAGCTGCTGCTGAAGTCCGTCACATCTGCTGTTTGCCTCTTCAAAAAGGTTCTTATACTTTTCTATTTGAGACTGCTGTGAAGTAATTGTTCGCTGCTGTTTCACACAGTCTTCTTCAAAGTTTTTCACCTTGGACTTTAAGTCCTGAATTTCATCCTCCTACAATAAGACATTATCAATTATGTAAAAAATACACAAGATCTGACGCCAAAACGTATAGCTGAAAACAAAAGAGCCTCAGACAGTCTTTGATGAGATATTTACACGAATTCCTGAGGATAAAGCCTGGTTGATATTCACTATCAGAAATGGAAATCAGATATTTTATACTGAATAGCTTATTATCTGGCAAGTCTAAAATAGTAAATTCTGACTCCCATCTGGCCACCAATTCCATGCTTCCCTGCGCACTGCAGGCTGGCATCAGGCCCTGGGCTAGCGGAGCAGGTCTGCTAGCTGAGTTGTGGCAGCGTCTGGCAGCGACAAATGAGAGAAGGTCTATGCAGCAAGGGAAAGACCCAGGAGAAATGGAATCCAAAGAGGAAAAAGGAGGAAAAAAACTCAACATGGAAAATGACCATCAGGAAAAGAAAGAAAAGGAAGAAACGCCGCAAGATGCTAAGAAAGGGGAGCAGCCTGTGGTCCTGTCCTGGAACTAGCTCTTGTAGACCAGGCTGGCCTCGAACTCACAGAGATCCATCTGCCTCTGCCTCCCGAGTGCTGGGATTAAAGGCATGCACCACCACCACCCAGATTGGTCCTGTGTTTTGAAGCAGGTGAATACTCTATGCCCCAGGAACTTGCAGGCGGTTTACTGTTAGGTAGCCCATCATGCACTATAGAGGGGACCTGATGCATAGGGTTGGAGCCCCAGGCAAGGATGAGAGAGGAGAACAGGGAAAGGCTTGGGAAGGATGTGAGACAGCTCATGGAGAAGTTGAGGGAAAGGCAGCTGAGCCATAGTCTGCGGGCAGTTAGCACTGGCCCCCCTCACCATGACCATCATGATGAGTTTTGCTTTATGCCCCGAATCCTGGTTTTCTCTGAAGATAATATGGGGACCCCTGCTTCTAAAACTTAATGTTTGTGATGTGTTGTTGTAAAATTTTTGATGTTACTTTATTTCTCATGGGTCTCCACTTAATGCCAGCTTCTAATTGAAACTTGTGTTTTTGATTCAGTCTTAATTTTTTTTCCTGTTAGCAGAATTTATCTAACGCATGGAAAGAATCTCATTATATATTGTGGAGCTAATAAAGCAGATTTAAAAAGCAAAACAAAATAGTAAGGTCTAATGTCAACAATTTTGATACATTCTTAAGCTTTGTGGTAATTCATCATTTCAGAATAAAGTTTGGTATTTATATTTAATTTTTAAATCTGATTATTTAACTGTGGATTGAAATCTAAAAGTATAATTAAAACTGTCCCTCATGTCTTTGGTAGAGCACGCGAGAAGCCATTTCTGCTTACCTTCTTATTGCATTCACACACAACGCTGTCCAGTTCCTCCTGCATCACATGGAGTTTGGCCTTTAGAAATCTGAGCTGAGCCTCTGTGGAGTCAAATCGTTACATGACTGCTTTCTTCCCCCAAGTCTAAGACATTATCAACTGGGCGACAGATCTTACATTATGAGTAAAATACAATCACAGTAGACAATCTAACAGGAGACCATGGTAGAAACACCATAAACATTAAACATTTCCCATGTCAGACAACAGAAAAGAACAGCAACAGGTGGTCACACAGACCATGGAGAGTCAGTAAAGACAGAGGAACAGGGACAAGAACCCTTCTTCCTAAGAACCACACCTAAAAGCTGGTGCTTGCTCACATTTATAGACTGCGCTCACACCTACCACAGTGATCCAAAAGATATCTACTAGAATTTATAGTGGTCTCAGGCTAGCAGTGCCCAAGAATTTGACAGAAACAAGCAGACCCTCTCTAACAAAAATAAAGCTTCAGATCTTACGATCTGTGCTTCCAAACTGACTCCAGATCATTCTATCTTACCCACAACCCAGCCATTCCAAGTAAGCATCAGGAGTACAGGAATATTCTCCCTGGGACAAGACGCCCAGGCACGCACGCTGAGGAGGGAAGATACGGAGACAGTGGCCGCAGGAAGGAGCAGTGTTCATGGTAAAGTCTGCAGCTGGTCCTGAATTTCTGCATCTCTAGCCTGTAACAGGGCAGTGGGTGACTGTCTCCAGGAACAAGCATCTGCCCAGCATGTCCTGGAAGGTAGCTGAAGAGTGACAACCAACTTTCTGATTCACTTACGGTCCTTCCCTCTAACGGTCCCAGAGGGTTGATTAGTCAATAAATGCTACAAATACATAAATGAATTGCTGGCCTCTGTGACTGACTAGGGTGTAGCTCAATCATCATTACACACAACCTGTTAGGATTCTTCAGAGAATCAGAATTTCAGAGATAAACTTTATGATCATCTGTAGGGAACACTCAGAACTAAAAAGAAGAAAATAAGATGGAGGCACTCCTGCTAGTCATCGTGACAATCAGAACACGCTGACGGCAGAAGCAAGCACCTGAGTGTAAGCAGCAAAGCCCTGGGAGCAGGCGGTTCACAGCAATCAGAAGCAGGGGCTCAATGTCTGCACTGAGGAGACAAGTCATAGAAGGACCAGGCAGCCCGACAGAGGCTGGTCTCCAATGTACCTCACTGCACATAAACTACAGTGCTAGCAATAGGGACTCTTTCAGCAGTGTTGGTGACCGCTGACTGTCTGAATGGCTAAGCACAACTGAATCATGCCTTTCTGGTCTTTACTGAGCTCAAGCAGCAGAGCTTTGAAGGATCATCTGCCTCAGAGCTAGCACCCACTCCCTGTTCTTCCTCCACCAGCGGATGCAGTCAAGGTGGTTTGCTGTGCACTGGGCTCTAAGACCTGCAACCTATTCCGTGCTACTACTGCCACTGTCTGAGTGAATCCCATCTCCAGACACCAGCAGCATGACTTAGAGCTAGGAAGTTAAGATTCATTTGCTGTGCGTTTTCTGCCCCTCCCCATTTTTAAGGTGTGAACAATAAACTGTGTATGTGGAAAGTACAGACTGCCAGCCTCTTGTGATGCATACATTGTGTTCAAGACATCATTTGACCAACTCTGATTCTCAAATGGAGAAACTGCTATTACAGAGGAGTTAGGTAGCCAGAGTGGAGTCACAGCTGACTATACTGCACACCCGAATTCATTATACCGCTCACAGTAACTATGCTCACACATTCAATTGTTCTACTGCACACCCAAATTCATTATACCGCTCACAGTAACTATGCTCACACATTCAATTGTTCTACTGCACACCCAAATTCATTATACCGCTCACAGTAACTATGCTCACACATTCAATTGTTCTACTGCACACCCAAATTCATTATACAGCTCACAGTAACTATGCTCACACATTCAATTGTTCTACTGCACACCCAAATTCATTATACCGCTCACAGTAACTATGCTCACACATTCAATTGTTCTACTGCACACCCAAATTCATTATACAGCTCACAGTAACTATGCTCACACATTCAATTGTTCTACTGCACACCCAAATTCATTATACCGCTCACAGTAACTATGCTCACACATTCAATTGTTCTACTGCACACCCAAATTCATTATACCGCTCACAGTAACTATGCTCACACATTCAATTGTTCTACTGCACACCCAAATTCATTATACCGCTCACAGTAACTATGCTCACACATTCAATTGTTCTACTGCACACCCAAATTCATTATACCGCTCACAGTAACTATGCTCACACATTCAATTGTTCTGGTTTTTTGTTCCAACAGCACAGGTGGCTCCTCATAATTTCAGTAATTTTAGAGACATTGCTGCTAACGAATACAATTTTTTTAGATGATTAAAACAGTTTTTTCTAGTTACATGCAGAGTGCAAGTTAACCAGGAAAAATTATATTCATAAAAACTCATTTCATTACTTATCTGTTGCTTTATCAATTCATTTACCCTTTTCAATATATTGATTTAACATACAATAAACAGAATATAATAAAAATAAATAAAAGTAACTCAGAAACTTTATTCAGTGATAAACTATTGGACATTTTAATTTCAGTTGAAATAAACTCAAAACAATACTATAGTCATGACTTTTTATAATATAAAATATCAAACAGAGATGAAAGTAGAGGTAAAAGCCAGGCAGTGGTGGCACATGCCTTTAATTCCAGTGCTCAGGAGGTAGAGACGGGCAGATCTCTGAGTTTGAGGCCAGCCTGATCTACAGAGTAAGTTCCAGGACAGGCTCCAAAGCTATAGAGATACCCTGTCTCAAAAAAAAAAGAAAGAAAGAAAGAAAGAAAGAAAGAAAGAAAGAAAGAAGAGGCAAGTTCAGTGAACTCAAACCACCACCCTTGGTCAACAAGTATTCGGCCAACTTAAATTTACCTAGAATCTTCCTTCCATTCACTACATCTCTCTAGATTATTATTATCTAGACACAAATCCATATTCATAATAAAAATTTAAAGAAATAGTTCTCCCAAATCTCTGAGTATCTGTAATGCTAAAAGAAAACCTACCTGTCCCAATGTCCTTACTGACACCACAGAGAATGTCGTCATCGGCGTGCCCTGGTGAGCTGTCCTCTTCCAGTCGCCCTTCAATTCTGCTAATTGTCTTGGCAAGGGAGAAGTCTGAGAAATCGTCTGGGATGGCCACATCATTGGCAGTCTGCACACTGGGATATTTCAGCTTAACACTAAGAAGCAAAACATGCACACACACGTGAGCAGAAATGGGATGGTCGGGGAGGGGATGGAGCTTTGCCCGAAAACAAAGCAGATAAACCTGTTATAAAACTGAACTCAAGATGAAATCTACAGTGGAACATTTAAGGACTTTGCTCTAAGAGTCTTAGTAGCCATCAGTCTTTACGAGGGGAAGTCCAGGCCTACCGGTCAGATCCGGCCTACAGTTTTCATTTTGCACTCTACTGGAGAATTGCCCAAGGTAATGTCCTGACACTGAAAACTGGGAAGAATTTCATCGCTTAAGAAAGAATTACCAGGTCCTCAGTGCCATCAAACTCAACATTTATTTTCAATGTAGAGAAACAAGAATCAAAGTTGACCAAAATACCAGGTTTAACTTTTTAACATTAACATTGAGGAAGAATTAGGGAATAAAACTCACTTCCAAAGGCACAGTGGCCTGAATCAGGGTAAACACACTGAATGTCACCAAGACTGTGATTCTGAAAGCTCGGCTTACTTTTAACACGAAGGCAAATGCTTCTGAGTTCTTGTAATAACCACCTTATATTTAAATAGTGACCGTGAAGCCTGACAAGGGAATTCTGTAGTGATACATGCAATTTAGCCAAAGATCTCTTCGGGTTCTTTTTGTTAACTTTATCTTCTATCCCTTCAATTCTATTTTTCCCCTTTAAACAATTAAAATACACAATAGTTAGGAAAGATTTCCCCATTATTATAATTACCAGCTTGGGTAGGTCATAGACATAAAGATTAAATAACTTACTGGTTACTACAACCAAAGTCTTTTCCTTTTATTAAAAAAAAAAAATTCACCGGGTAGTGGTACATGCCTTTAATTTCAGCACTCGGGAAGCAGAGGCAGGTGGATCTCAGCGAGTTTGAGGCCAGCCTGGCCTACAAAGCGAGTTCCAGGACAGCCAGGACTGTTATGCAGAGAAACCCTATCTCAAAAAAAACAAAACAGCCGGGCGGTGGTGGTGCACGCCTTTAATCCCAGCACTCGGGAGGCAGAGGCAGGCGGATCTCTGTGAGTTCGAGGCCAGCCTGATCTACAAGAGCTAGTTCCAGGACAGGAACCAAAAGCTACGGAGAAACCCTGTCTTGAAAAATAAAAAAAATAAATAAAAAAATAAAAAAAACAAAGAATCATAAGCCCGAGCAGAAGGTAAATAATAATTATGACATAACCTAATTTATATCTTATCAAACAACTCCCATCTCACAAACACAATAATGTATGGCACTCTGTCAAGCAGTCAAAATCTAGAAAACAATTTGCTCTATTTACAAGAACCCAACCCAGACCCCAGGGGCTAGAAAGATAGCTTAATATTTAAGAGCACTTGTTCTTGCAGAGGACCTAAGTTTGGTTCCCAGCACCTACACGCAGCTCACAAGCAGCGTGATTCCAGGTCTGAGGAGTCTGACAGCCTTTTCTGGTCTGGAAGGGCACTGCACACAGGTAGCACATAGTCACACAGTACATATATACATATGCATTTTTAAAAAATCTTTAAACAAAATAAAACCCAGATTTCAGTCCCAGTTCCAACAATGTCTCATTAAAAACAACAGTAAAATTTATGGAAAGGTAGTGATTTTGTTTTAGAGAACATAAAATGTTTATTAACTGCTGTAAACAGTTCCAAGTGCAATTGCTTTAAATTACTGAGTATGATGGGATACGTGGGATACAGGGGCTTTATACTGGAGGTATTTTAAAATCAAGAGAAACAGAAAGTTTATAACTAAGAATGCTGATACTGTGGACTGTAAAACTGAGAAGGAGAGTCAGGCCTGCAAACTATACTGTACCTTGAATTTGTTTTCCTTTCTTTCTCTGCAGAGTGAAGTCTGGTTTGAACCTTGTTTACAGGACCAGTGCTTTTGGTCTTTGGCTAGAGAAAAAAAAGTCGAAACTACCAATTAATTAAGAGTTTAATCATTTCTTCTTTTTACAACATTTTTCCATGTGCATTGTTGCTTCTATGTGAGATCCCCTGGAACTGGAGTGCAGACAGATGTGCGCTGCCATGTGGGTGCCGGGAACTGAACCCGGGTCCTCTGGAAGAGCAGCCAGTGCTCTTAACCACTGAGTCTAATCATTTCTAACAACAGAAATTTTGCTTGGTTTAATTTTGGTTTTTGGTTTTTATGTGTATGAGTATTTAGCCTACATGTATGTCTGTGCACCACATGCATGCCTGGTACCCTGGAGGCTAGAGAAGGGCATCAGATACAGAGTTGTGAGCTCCCATGTGGTGCTGGGAATTACACTTGGGTATTCTGGACAAGCAGCCAGAGCTCTTAATCACTGAGCCATTTCTCCAGCCCCAATAATTTTGTAACATATGGAATTGTTGTTTTGCTACAAATAAAAATTGCCATTTTTAAATAATTTAATCCAATTGCATTTTCAGCAATCCCAGAACTGTGCAGGAAACACCTAAAAATCACCAGGACCAAGGGAATCAGGAATACAGAAAATGAATCCCAAAGACAAATGTTTATTCAGCCAGCTAGTGAATGTTTAAATCAGGATGTTCTGATTCACCAAATTCAGTTCTCCTCATTAGCCAACCATGTGCCAAACAGCCCTTTGCTGGCCTAGAGGTGTGCAGTTCCCTTGACTTAGAAGAGCTTTGTGGATAGAAACTTAGAGAACTCAGGGTGCCCGGTTTGCAAAAGAATGATCTCCATCCTATGCTTTTTAGAAGAGGACCTGTCTTCGTTAGGGTTTCTGTTGCTGTGAAGAGACACCATGACCACTGCACTCTTATAAAGAAAGCATTTAACTGGTGGCTGGTTGAGTTTCAGAGTCAGTCCATCATCAGCACGGTGGAGATGGCAGCACACAGGCAGATGTGGTGCTGGAGCTGAGAGTGCTATATCTTATGGGCAACAGGAAGTCAAATGAGAGCTACATTGAGAGAAGCTCGAGTAAGAGACCTCAAAGCCCACCCCCACAGTGACACATTTCCTAATAGTGCCACTTCCTTTGGGGCCATTTTCTTTCAGACTACCACATGGGATTCTGGTTCACAGAGAAGTGAGTCATTCCTTTAGAGCTTTGTTCACTATCCTCCAAACAGTCAGTGGGATGACAAGGCAGAAGTTATTCAAGATCTTTTATAAGCAATGCTGAATGAGCATATCACACCTGAGTTTTACATTCTATCTATTGAGTCATACTCTTTCCCTAATTTTTTTTTAAAAACAAAAACCAATCCTAAGGGTCAGGCAGATGGTTTATAAGGTAAAAGTGCTTGCTGCCACGTATGGGGAGTTCCATTCTCAAAGTCTATACCGTGGATGGGAGAACTGACCCCCACAAGTTGTCCTCTGACTTCCACACGCATGCTGTGGCACAAGTACATTTTTTTTATTAATTAAAGTCCCACATTCTATAGAATGTAATTGCATTTACAGAAACTTTGATTTCATACCTTGGTTTCTGACCATAGATGACCCATCCCTTCAGATGACAACAGATCTCTACAAACCAAAAGTAAGCACTACATTAAAATAGGTGATATTAAGCTGAGACAGCATGAAAATCAACAGTAATTATATTCTAAAGAGGAAATATTGTTCTAATTTCAATTAGTCATACATTAACTTGATACTTATATGAATTATAAAGTTGATTTCCACATAAGTTACATCTATACATATGTATATATTTAATAAGTTTATATGCACGAAGAATTATATTTCACTTTGATTCTAGTTCCTAGACATTAATTTACTTTGAATGAAGGCTATTAAATAGTGTTTAAATATTTCACTTCAGAGAAGGTACAGCGGTATTCTTTAGGAAAATGAGTACAAATTTTTATTAGTATAAATCATACTGACGATTGATAATGACTGGCTACACAGAGAACTATCATATTCTTTATTGATTCTTTGGAAATTTCACATCATGCACCCAATCCTGTTCACTTCCCTGTCTCTCCACATCTGCCCCTAACCCCTGCAGCATCCCACCATCAAAAGACACCCCCAAAATTAACTAAAAACAAAACAAACCCCACCTCACTACTCCATCTTTCGTACCTCTTCAACACCTCTTTATCCCTCCTAGTGGCACTGGGAACTGCAATGTGTCACACAGTAGACCCTTCTGTCCAACCAGCCCTCCCGCAAGTGGTCATTGCAATGAGTCACTGGTCTGGTCAAAGCCTCTAGTGCACCATCATCACTGGACCCTCACCGAAACTCCTCTCAGACATCCCACTGTTGCCTTGAGTCACAGAGATCCTGTAGCTATCATCACATAGGACCTCACGCACTCCAGCAGGTCATGGGTAGGTGAGATGTTAAATGAGCCAACCCAAGACCCAGGATGCTGGCCTGGGTGAACCATCCATTTCTTAAAGAAATCAGAGCTGATAAGATGGCTCAGCAGGTAAATGCACAAAGCCTGACCATCTGAGTTTGAGCCATAGGACCCACATGGTAGAAGGAGACTAATTTCAACAGGTTGTCCTCTAACCTCCATATATGCATGGTGACACACACACACACACACACACACACCAAAACAACCCCTGCATCACTTTTACTTGTACGCATGTTCAACACCACCATTCTAATGTACTTGAACACGTGGTCAGGATCTGTCTTCGTAACAGTATAAACTCATGAAAGTAGGATCCAACCTGCCTTTCCCGTTGTGTAATGCTATCAATCTGACATAGCAATTCACACATAAAGTGACAAAAGTAAATAGACATTGAATAAGTGAATGGATAAATCTAAATCCATCTTACTTCAGGAACCTTTTATCTTAGGTTTACAGAGCATATCTGTAGTTTAAAATGAGGCGTATCTGTAGGTATATGCATACACTGGCTCATCAACAGGCTGGATCTACTCATAGCCACTCTCTCTACAACAGCAGAATTGAGTGGTTGTGACGGAGACTATCTAAGCCCACAAATCATAAAACATTTGCTATCTGTCCCTTTCCTGCCCCTGATTCACTATCTAAAGCATCTGTATTAGTATCATGGACTATACTGTGTTATTGTCTATTGCGACTATAGGGAGAATGCCAACTGGTCACTGTAGAGGACACACAAAACAAAATGACTTTCTGTCAGATGTCACCTTCTTGCCTGGCCATCTGCAGATTTTTGCTATTTAACTTGAAGGTATATTTAGATCCTATCTACTAGAAAAATTGCTGTGAAAGAAAAGTAGCTTTGAAAATACCTTAAATTTATGGAAAATAACCTTTTCACACATGATATAAAAATGTTTCCAAGATTGAACATAAGCATCTTGAACTGTCCTTATTTCCAGCTAAAGCCTGCCATTTCATTAGCCCTTAGCATGTTTCCTGAACTTTTCATTTCCTTCCAACCACCACCTACCTCTCCCACACACAAGTATACAGCTAAAAATATCTACCAGGGGCTGGAGAGAAGGTTCAGCAGCTTAGAGCACTAGAGTTCAATTCTTAGCACCCAGGTTGGACAGCTCATAGCACTCTGCAACCCTAGTTCCAGGGGACCTGATGCCTCTGGCCTCCACAGGCAGTGACATGCATAGATACCCACACCCACACACATAATCAAAAATAATACACATCAAAATAAAGAACTTTTCAAAAACATCCGCCAGCTGCCCATCACCATGAGGTGTGCATGCCACTTCTCCTGGTGCACTCCCACGCAAGACACACTGCAGCACAATGGTCTGACTCACGTTAAACTTCATGAACGGTTTGTCTGAAGTAAGACTGAGATGATCTGGGCAGAAAACCTTGCTTTCAGCACAATAGAGGATTTGGATGTTATACTAAAGGAAACTAAATTCTAGTTTCCTTACTATCTTTCTGACAGAGTAACCACAGATACTGAAGACCTATCATAGAATACACTGCCTGAGCCTTAAAAAGATTACTACTGTTCCAACCTGAAATGGATGGTCTTTTTATAGACTTATCTTTCATCTTTAATAATCCCAATAAGTCAAATGCCATGTTTCATATGATAAAAGCCACCTGTTGAAACAGATGCATTACGAAAATATTCCAGAAGCCGGGTGGTGGTGGCACAGACCTTAATCCCAGCAGCTGAGAGGCAGAGGCAGGTGGATCTCTATGCTCAAAGCCAGCCTGGTCTACAGTGAGTTCCAGGACAGTCAGGGCTACACAGAGAAACACTGTCTTGAGAAAAAGAAAAAGAAAATATTCCAGGTTTGACAAGATAGCTTACAAGATAAAGGCACATGCTGTTAAGCCTGCTGCCTGGAGTTCAATCCCTGGGGCTCACATAGTGGAAGGAGAGCAGCAAATGTAACTTCCACACTGTATGCATGTGTGCACACAGACATGTGGACACACAGAGACACAAACAAAAAAATAGTGTTAAAAAAATCCACTTTACCCAGGTAAACAGATGTCTCATCACCACTTTGGACATGAGAAAAACTCAGCAAAAGAAAATCAGCAGGTTCATTTTTACACTTGTAAAATCAATCTTCTGCTTGCTTCATCAGGAACTAAGGATTAGCTGCCAGTACAGCATCTCAATTCTTCCATTTACTGGATAAAAGCCAGGCCCAATTTTTATCTGTAATCCAACCTTTGGAATTTGGGTAGCTATTAAGTATCTTTATTTATTAAACATCAGATAGAATCACATATGATGCAGATAAGTGATTTACCATTACATGAACATATGCACATGACAAATAATGATACAAAATATACTTTTATTGATTTACTAGAAAGAAAAACTCAAAGTAACAGGCAGTGACAGTCCTCTAACAGCCCATGCCTTTAAGCTTCTTCTGAGAACTCACAGTTGTTTTGAGAGTTACACAGTGTGATTTTAGCCACACGCAGTTTCTGTGCTGTGTGATTCTCTCTTCCATGGTTCCAGTGAGTACCACACTCTACTGCATCCAGAGTTCTTTCTTCACTGTAGAAAGCATGTTCTTCACTATACAGAGGATCCCGGTCACAATAGCTGTGTTGCGATGTGTCTTGCATGGTAGTGTACCAACAGTTAGTAATGTATACCTCACAGTGATGGGCAACTGGTAGATGTTTTGAAAAAGATCTTAATTTTGATATTTTCTATTTTTAATTGTGTATGTGTGGTGGTGGGTACGGGTGTGTGAATGTTACTGCCCCTGAAGGCTATAGGCATTACATTTCTTGGAGCTGGAGTTGCAGGTGTTGTGAGACAAGCCATGTGGAGGCTGAGATCAGAACCAGTGTCCTCTGCAAGAGCAGTTAGTGCTCTTAACAGAAAAGTGATAGCTGTTTGAGAGAAGAGTGCCTGGCACCCTCTGGATGTTGAAGAAAAGCTTCACAAAGAACTATAGACTTGGTTGTGGAGTGTGGTGCTCATTGGAAACAAGAAGAGAATCCCCTTGAACAGAAACTGTGGGTATGATGTGGGATTTCCCTCTGTATGCTATGTTGTTGACCTGTTGATAGGGCAGAACTTAGGTAGGCAGGGAAAACTAAACAGAATGCTGGGAGAAAGGAGGCAGAGTCACAGAGAAGCCATGCAGCCTCCACCAGAGGGAGATGTGCTCACCCTATTGGAGTCAGAGAGAAGCCATGGAGCCTCCTCCAGAGACATGCTGAAACTTTGCTGGTAAACCACTGCCACGTGACAATTCACAGATTAATGGAGATGGGTTAAATTAATATGTATGAGTTAGCCAATAAGAAGCTAGAGCTAGTGAGCCAAGCAGTGATTTAATTAATAGTTTTTGTGTGATTATTTCGTGGCTAAGCGGCTGGGATGAACAAGTGGCCTCCACCGACAGTATGGCTAAAATTTGGTTTTGTAATGCTTGAAACAGCTGTTGAGTTCTCAGAAGACAAAGCCATAGCATGGGCTGTTTGGGACCATCACCGCCTCTGCTGCAGTAAAACAATTTTACTCACGTAGAACTCACACTTTTGCTAAATGTATTACTAATATTTAATGGTTGCCTAATTTCTTGATTTGCCAAAAATGTACAAGAAGTCTAAAAATGTATCTGTATTAATTTATCACTACCTAGTCTTCACACAGCTCTAAAAGGCAGGCAGTAGAGTACATGAGAAAAGGTCCAGAAATCTCTCACATGGCTGTGGGGTGAACCCCAGGGAAACTACTCTGTTTGACCTTTGCACAGCACTGACCTTCCCTAAGCTACAGTTTTTTTAAAAAAAATATTTATTTATTTATTAAGTATACAGTATTCTGTCTGCGTGTATGCCTGCAGGCCAGAAGAGGGCACCAGATCTCATTACAGATGGGTGTGAGCCACCATGTGGTTGCTGGGAATTGAACTCAGGACCTTTGGAAGAGCAGGCAGTGCTCTTAACCTCTGAGCCATCTCTCAGCCCTAAGCTACAGTTTTTAAATGAAGACAATACTGTCTATTTTCAAATAATACCTGGAGCCGGGCGGTGGTGGCGCACGCCTTTAATCCCAGCATTTGGGAGGCAGAGGCAGGCGGATCTCTGTGAGTTCGAGGCCAGCCTGGTCTACAAGAGCTAGTTCCAGGACAGGAACCAAAAGCTACGGAGAAACCCTGTCTCGAAAAATAAAAAAAATACCTGGAGAATTACATGAGATAAAACAGGTAAAAACTTGCCTGTGTCTGGCTAGAAAAGCCCCAATTATAAGTTTACATATTATATTCTTCCTTGAATTATACTTTAACATTTTCAAAAAAATTTTATACATTGATGTTTTACAAGGATTACTGAACAGAAGCCATGTTTGAGAACTGAAGTCACGTACCTTGTACTGGAACCATCTTCCTCTTTGCATGATGTAATTTTTGTTGAAAAAGGCCTAGCTCGTACTTCTTGCTGATCTCTCTGGTAAACAGGGTAAGTTGTGAATATTCAAGCTAACAGTCATGGAGTCCAGTTTAACACCTCTCTAAAAGCTCATCATTTCAGAGCTGCGCCAGCTCTCTACATATGAGAAAAGCTACACAGTAACAAAGAAATACTGACTATGCTTTTGCTCCTCTTTTGCTCAGGTGTAAGAAAATTACTTCAAAGACAAAAATATGAGAGTTTGAAGGTCCTCTTATTCTTCACCTCCCCACCCCCGGCAGTCTATGTGAAGCAGCGACAGAAAAAGCTTCAGTGAGGAGCCATTGAACAAGAGAAGAGTAAATGCAAATTGAAGATGGCAAAGGACATCCCACTAGCTGCTGGGGGAAGAAGGGTGTCTTCCCCCTCCCAAATCCCCTCAGTTTTTATTCTGTTCTTCCTGGTGTGGAAATAAAGGCTCTCTTTAGGGAACTCCTTGAGCACATACAAAATGCACCCCTTATTCTACCATGACACGCTGTCCTTCCGGACAAAGATTTTCCTTCTTTTCAGATACTGGCAAAACTGTAAAATGAAATTAAATATTTCCAGTAAAATACTTAATTGTAAACACAACTAGAAGTTCTGTAATTATTAGGTATTAAGTGAAATGTTATAGATGCTACATTTCTTAGTCCTCAACTAATAAATAATTATGGATTTTTATGAAGCATCAAAATAAAATATTAATTGAAGAAATGTCTCAGTGAAGAATTAATGGCACTACTACGCTCGCAGAGAACCCATGTTTGGTTGCCAGCACCCATGTCAGGAAGATCACAGTCAATAACCTGTAACTCCAGATCCAGGGGATCTGACATCTCTGGTCTCTGTGGGTCTCACGTACACACAGACACAGACATACAGACACACAAAATAAAAACAAATCATGAAAAATAATAAGATATTATTAGGATTTCTTTCCTGCCTCCATCAGCTCCATTTTGGGGAGCAATGGGATTAAAGGAGGACTGAGTTGAGGTCAGGACAAGAGTTACCTGACTCCTCTGGGAAGGCTGTACACTAGCACTGGGAACACTGGTGCTGAGGGAGCAATGCTTGAAGAACGGGTGCCCAATCTGATACCAGAATGGACGCTGATATTTGGAGGCTGGTGAGATGACCTTACATTTTTCCTGGGTATGTGCTTTATTCTAGCCCTAAGAAGCTCAGTTATATGTAGAAAACAGCTTAGTATTAGCACTATTTGAACACTGTTACTTTCAACTCTACTGAATTTTTGGTGTTAATTTTACTATACAGAAAATCTCAAAAGATGACTAACATTGATATTCTTATTGATTACATGATTGGACCATCTAAACAGAAACTACTTTTATCACACACGTTAGAACTACACCTATGCACACACATTCATGTTTAGCTTGTCACTCACTAAATTGATCATTGATGCTTTGGGTATTTTTATATGCATGTTATGCATTCAATTTAAAGTTAAAAAATTAGCACTTACATGGAAAAACTGTACATCTACTTACTATTGCTTCATCAGCTTGTCTAACCAGATCAGCAGTTTTTGCCTCCAATTCTGCATTTAAACGCCTAAAAGTAGAAAATAACACTTGACAAATAATAACAAAATTCTAACAACAATAAATGTAATTAAATTTTGGCAATTACATTATAATCAATATTTGCCAAAGCACACACAACATTTTTGGTTGAAAATGAACAGATCTATTAGAACTCCCTGCCTCTTCCTACCTCTGGAAGGAATGTAAGCAGTTCCCTAGCTTTCCATGGCTCCTTATTCATATCTTCCATGAAGTCAGTCATCTAACTAGTAAACTAGGCAAGAGCAAACAGCTCCAGGATTGTCTGACCTATGGAGAACACAAGTTCCAACCGTGCATCCTTAGACAGGTGGGTCCTGTCTCCTGATGACTAGAGAGGCCAGGGTCAGGGAGGCCTGCCTGGGCTGGGTGTTACAGTCGGTGGGGAGCCAGCTCACAACTCAGCCATGCACTCGGTACCAGTACCACCAGAAATATGGAATTTATTTGGTCTCCATTTTCAATCTAGCAAAAAGCATGACTATTTCTTGATCCAATTAAGCAAGAATGATTTTAAGGGAAATATTTTAAAAGGGAGACGTTCACTGTCATCATTCAACCTTTTTATTTTTAATATTTCCCTCCAATCATCACCTGCAGCACACACACACACACACACACACACACACACACACACACAAGTCTGCATGCTCCCAGAGACAGGGAAGAAATACAGTTACCTCCACATGGTCAGCATCTTAGCTGGCTTCACAACAGTCTCAGGAGCAGTTAGCCTAGTGCACTAAACTCTAGTCGTGTCTCTTTCCCTTGTAAAGTTTCACACCACGATACACATCTTTCTCTCCCATTTCCAAACCATACTGGCTTTTCTGAAGTTCTATCAAAGATTTGTCAAGGAGACTTACTGAGGGATTTCCCCCACTTTGGTACATGATTCAGAAATAACATGAACACCTACTTCCCTACCCTGATAAGGACTGGGTGGAGGAGGGGAAGGACAGACAGCACCACATCCTTTCCTAAAACGGCCTTACCTTTAAGAAATACTTTCATTATTTTAAGAGTACTTGGTTAAGAGAAATCTAAGAAATAAATTATTATATTTAAAGTGACAATTGTTTTTCTTAAAAAATCAGAAGAACTACTTAAATTGAAACTTCAAATTAATGCAGGTCAACCAGGAGGATTAAGTCTAGTTTTCTCCTCTAAATCCATTAAAATGAGAAATAAAATATGACTACAGAAATAATCAGTAAACTCAAACTCAGGAGAAACGCCCCAGTACTAAGAATGACTCAAAATTCTGAGTGAGAGCCACGAAGAGAAAAAGAAACCAGAAGAGCTGGCAGCTAGAAGAGGATGCACATGCGAGTCATGACCTACCAAACACAGACTGCAAAAACTCCACTCACGGCCTCAGGGGAGAGGTCGGTGGTGAGGTGGACAGACCACCTTGTAATCCAAACACATTCATCTCATCCAGAATGGCTCAGAGACACTGTGCCATCTTTCATAGTGTAGAAGGGAAGCTAAGCTGATAGAGGGAAATTCAAAGCCAAGTTACAGGGATATCTGCTCACCTAGAATATAAGGACTCTAAAAACAAACCCTGCTGAAGACGACTTTCAAAGAATAACAAACCACATAAGTCACCAAGGGAGAACAGGAAGGCACAAAAATGGAAAGGAGAGATTTACACTATGAAAACAATAAAATTTTTTAATCAAAATTCTAGTTTGAAAGAGGGGAAAAGAGCAAGAACAAAGACAGTTATGGTCTGAAAATGAACTGTTTGCCACACTTCCCCAGTTAGTGGGGCTGCTTTGGGGAGTGTAGCTTTTTAGAGGCAGGCCACTGGGGGGAGGTCTTTTGAGGCTTATAGTCCAGAATCACTTTCTGCCAGAACTCTGTTTCTTGATCCTCCAAAATGACCTGTCTGCCATAAACTCCTCTGCCACATACATCGGACCTGAGTTAAATTGTGGAGAAAATATTTTGATACATATTTTTAAAGTTATATTTAGTGAAATCAGGGCAAATTTATAAAGCCCAATTTAAAAGGAATCTACCCAAACCCTGGAGCAAACCTCAGAGATAATGATGAATTATTAAAAGTGAGCTCCTCAAAATTACAGCTGCGCTACGGCAGCTCATGGTTACTTTTGTATTCCACCTTGCGTCGTCATAAACAGGGAAAAGGGGATGCAGAGAAAACAAAACCAGAAAAAAACATAGCTAGCAGACGGTCTCATCCAGAAATCACAAGGCTGTACAGCATGAGTTGAGCAGTGCTGAAGATTTGCATTTGTTGTTGCACTAGTAACAAATGAGTTTAAGAGCTTTAAATTTTAACAGTTGTTGCTGGGTGGTGGTTATCTCTTGTCAGTTCAGCCTGGTCTACAGAGCTAGTTACAGGACAGCCAGGGCTACAACAAAGAAATCTGGTCTCGAAAAACAAAACAAACAAACAAACAAAAAAGTTATTAAAAATATACTTTATTTAGTAAGGGTACATTCAAATGGCAAATAATGCAGACATAATCTCTACCCTGGTATCCTGGTGGAGTTTAGAGTTCAGTAGAGGAGGCAGAATATAAGAAAATAAACTATGGTGGTGAATGCCTTTAATCCCAGCACTCTGGAAGCAGAGGCAGAAGGATCTCTGTGAGTTCAGGGCCTGGTCTACATAGTGAGCTCCAGGACAGCCAGGGCTATGTAGAGAGACCCTGTTTCAGATCTTTTTGTTTTGTTTTTTAAAACATAAGCTATCAAGTGAGTTTATATTAACAGAATATGCTAATTGGGAAAAAACATGAAACAACTAGGGATCTGTTTAGCATGGTCAAAGTCCCCTCTGGGCTTTGCAGGCAGGTATGATTTCCCTCAAGAACAGAGAGGGTTGGAAAGAAAGACCCATGTCCCTTGTGACTGGAGAAGTGCAACCTGTATAGGTGAGAGAGAGAGGCAGAAAGCTAAATAAAAAAAGCCAGAGCTGTCAAAGCATTGAAAGTGCAACAACAACAGCAAAATGCAGTTTTAAGCAGTTCAACAAAAAGACAAATTGAAAATAAAAAGGGTTGCTCTGGCTGCTGCATGCAACCTGGGGAAGGGGAGTGGGGTGAGGGTGGGAGCAGAGATAACTGCCAAAGAATAAGGCAAGGAAGGGAAATCATTCTTTCTCCTTCCATTGTAGCCAGGACCTGATTCATTTAGAAAACAAGCCTCTACGAAATTTGCACAAAGTTAACTCCAGTAATTTGAGAATTCTCAAAATCTTCTACTCTGGGCCGGGCAGTAGTGGCACACGCCTTTAATACCAGCACTGGTCGGGGGAGAAGGGAGGGACGGACACCGGATGGGATGGAATGACAGAGGCAGGCGGATCTTTGTGAGTTCGAGGCCAGCCTGGTCTACAAAGCTAGTTATAGGACAGCTAGGGCTGTTACACAGAGAAACCCTGTCTAGGGAGAAGAGAAAAGAAGAAAGAAAGAAAGAAAGAGAAAGAAAGAAAAAGAAAGAAATTTACTCTGGGAACTCCACTCTTGGTGGCGATTTGTGTGTTCCAAGGCACTTCCAAGTGAACCCTCCTGATGCCCAACACAGTTTTTGTACTACATTTTTGCCCTTACAAGTATCTTCTCAGCTCCGGCTAAATAGCCAAGGCTAAAGGATGAGGAGTGGAAGGAGGCCCCCAGATACAACCACTCTACAGGAAAGGAACCCCAGTAACCTCCCTAGGGCATGAGAGACGCTCACTTGTACTCTTGCTCCCGGGCGAGGAGGTCCTGTCCAGCTGCAAGCTGCCCGCGCGACTGAGTACCTGCAGCACCGCATCTCTGCAGACAGAATTGCAGAGCTCAAGTTCAAGGGAGTCTGGGGTCCGTCCCGCCTGCCCGCCCGCAGCCCAGCCACTGGTCAGGAGTTAGGGGCTGAACTCACCAGCACTCCCACATTTCGCCCCGCCATCTTTCTAAACCAATGTGGTTACCAGGGTAACAACATATCTTCTCGCGAGAGTTCTTGGGTCTCGGGCAGCCTCCCGCCAGAAGGCCAGGACATTTCTATCTCCACCTAAAACAGCGCCTGTATGGGCTTTGACCAGCAGTTCTGAGGCTCCAGGGTACCCACCTAGACTCGCGGTTTAACCTGTCCTCGGCCTGGAGGTGAGGTTTCAGACCCCACGACGCAGAGACAGCAAACACGCATAAGCCTCTATCGGAGGTGTTTCTCCAGCCCAGTAGGGCAATCCGACTCACCGTAGTTTTTGTTGTAATGGATTTTTTTCAGTACAGTTCTACAGTTCTGGTTGCCATCATTATTCATGCCACGGCTGAGAGCTCGGGCTGTCAGTATCAGCGCAAGTTTGTGTCTAGACATACCATCCACGATCTAAACTACTTCCTCTGCAAGGCGGGACCAAGAATAATGTTAATATCACTGAGTAATTGAGAAGTAGATGAGCTCATGCATAGGATCCTGCCTGCAACACAAGTCAACAGTTCCGGCTGTTTGGGGAATAAAACTGAGAACCCAGAAATAAGCCTTTCCAGGTACAGTCACCTGGTCTAAGGACGCCAAAGTCATTCACGGAGAGAAAAGTGTTCAGCAACAATGGAAGGCAACTGCCTATCCACACGCAAAAGAATAACTCCGGCCAGTATTTCACACTAGACAGAAAAAGGAATTCAAAATCATAGCTAAGTGAAAAACTGTCTATAAGCACCATGCGTGTGAGTTGTCAAGACTGAATTAACAGATTTTTTTTTTTGCTATGCCCCCAGAAGGATAAGCAACAAAAGACAAATAAACTAGACGTCACCAAAAGAAGATACCATAAAACGAAAACCCAAACCACAGTAGAACATTTAGAAATTTTATCTAACATATGTCCACAACATGTAAAGAACTATCAGAAAACAGGAAGAAGAAACCAAAGGGCCTTTTATAGGTGTTTAGCCGAAGAAACACATAAAAAGATACTCGGTAGTGTTGGTCTTCAGGTAAAGGGAAAGCAAAACTACAGTGAGCCACCCTCTCATGCCCACCAGGGCCACTGTAATAAAAAGGAGACAGGAACAAATGAGGGAATATATGGAGAAATATGAGCCTTATGCTGTTAATGGCGATGTAAAGATCATAGAGTAGCTGGGTAACCCAAGCAGTCTGCCAATTCCCTTTTATGCAGTTATCCCACAATCTAGCAATGTACACCTATATGTGCAGGTTTGGATGAGACACACACACCCCCCCCCCCCAGCCATCGCCATAGGCTCACTATTCGAATGTCTGGTCCCTAGTGTAAGCTGTTTGGGGGATGTTAGGAACCTTCACGAAGTGTGGCCTTGCTTGAGAAAGTGTGTCATCGCGAGTAGGCTTTGAGAGTTCCTAGCCTCACCACACTTCCAGTCCCTTGTCTGGACTTCATGTTGGCAGCTCAAGATGTGATCTCTCAGCTTCCTGCTCTGGCTGCCATGACCCCTGCCATCAAAGCTTTTCTTTCTGGACCCATTAGTCAAAGTAAACTCTTTCTTCCAAAAGCTGTTTTGGTCATGGTATTTTCTCACAGCAACTAGCTACAAAGATAGCTAGTGCAATATGTGTATACCAAATAATAATAAGAATAAATAATAATTAAAAACTACCCAAAAATTATATATAGAGGTGTATAGAAACATTATTTGGTAGCCAAAAGTGGAAAAAATACCCAAATTATCATAAGTTGATGAACAGATAAATGAAAACCATCTATTTATATAATAGACTATTATAACAAAATGAACAAAATATCTCATTCCTGTTACAATATAGAGGAACCTTGACATTAAGCTAAGTGAAAGAAACTATTCTTAAAAAATCACACCATATCATGTAATTCCATTTATAAAGGGTCACAAATATGCGGGTTCATCCCAATGTAACAATATGTCTATAAAGTGGCCAGAAGAGCCAAATCCATAGAGACTGAAAGTAGATTAGTGGTTGCCTAGGCTGGCAGATGACAAATGGGTTGAAGGGTTTTGTAGAATAAAAAAAAATTAGTTTAAAATATATTATAGTGGCCAGGGATAGTGGTGCATACCTTTAATGCCAGCACTTGGGTGGCAGAGGCAGGTAGGTTTCTGTGAGTTCAAGGCCAGCCTGGTCTGCAAAGTAAATTCCAGGACAGGCTCCAAAACCATGTCTTGAAAAAGACACACACACATTTAGCATCGGTGGTACATCCTCCTAAATATATGAATACATGAATACAACACAAATGTCTTGTAGTCCTAGGAGTAAAACATTCAAAAATCCTGGTGCCTGCAGGGCCATATTCCTTTCTAAGCCTGTATTGGGGCAAGGACCTTTTTTGCCTCCTTCTGGCTTCTAATGGTGTCTCTCACTGATTGGCTTTCCTTGACCTGATCTCGTCACACCCTTCTCTTCTGCTGGAGACACCTTAGTCCACATCCCTCATCCCAGCTGAGTTCCTTTGAGTAGATGGTTGATTTTCGGAGTTAGGCATATGTCCCAGTGCTCATGTGCATGACCTTCCAAATATTCTCAAGCCAGGTATGGTAACCAGGTATCTTAGTTAGGATTTCCGTTTCTGTGAAGACACACCATGACTACAACAACTCTTAAAAAGAAAACATTTAATTGAGGGGGCACACTTACAATTTCACAGGTTCAATCCATTACTGTCATAACTGGGAGCATAGCAATGTGCAGGTAGATGTGGTATTGGGGTGGGGTAGTAGCTGAGAGTCCTACATCTCGCAGGCAACGGGAAGTTGACTGTCACATCAGGCAGTATCCTGAGCATAGGAAACCTCCAAGTCCAGCCCACAGTGACACACTTCCTCCAACAAGGCCATACCCATTCCAACAAAGCCACACCTCCTAACAGGGCCACTCTATCCGATTATCAGGGCCAGATACATATAAACTACCACATTCCACTCCTTGGTCCCCATAAGCTTGTAACAATATCATAATGCAAAATGCATTCAGTTCAACTTCAAAAGTCCCCACAGTCTATCACAGTCTCAACAATGTTTTACAGCCCAAAGTTCCAAGGTTCTTTTTAGATTTGTATAATATCTTAACTGTAGTCACCTGTAAAAATTAAAATCAAAAGGCAGATCACAAATTTTCAACATAATGATGGCACAGGAGATACTTTACCATTCCAAAACAAAGGGAAGGTGATGGAGGAAGGTCATTGGTTAAAAAAATAAAGAAACTGCTTGGCTGGCCCTAATAGGTTAAAACATAGGTGGGAGGAGTAAACAGAACAGAATGCTGGGAGGAAGAGGAAGTGAGCTCAGAGAGATGCCATGCTCCACTCTCCCGGGCAGACGCACGCAATGAAGCAAGCCGCCAGGTCAGACATGCTGAATCTTTCCCGGTAAGACCGGTGCTCACAGATTATTAGAGATGGGTTGATCGGGATGTGAAAATTAGCCTGTAAGGGCTAGAGCTAAAGGGCCAAGCAGTGTTTAAATGAATAGAGTTTGTGTGTTGTTATTTCAGAGCATAAGCTAGCCATGTGGGCAGCCGGGGTGCTGGGGACGCAGCCCCACTGCTCCTATTACTACAGGAAGGGAGCATAGCAAGGAAATACTGGACAAAAGCATGATGGAAAACCAGCTGGGCAAACTTTGCATGTCCATGTCTGATGTCAAAATACTCTTCAGGTCTCCAGCTCCATTCAGCTTTGTTGACTAGAACACACTTTTCTCTTGGCCTGGTTCCATTCCTTGTTAGCAGCTTCCCACAGCTCTAATATCTCTAACATTTCCAAGGCAATCCCACAGCTTCACAAAGTGGCCTCTCTAGGCTGCCATTGGGGACATCTCTGATGCATTGGTTTTCCTTAGGTACAGAGGCAAATTGTATAACCTGTTTCTTCTTTCCTTAACTCTAAAGTCAGAACCACATGTCGAAAGCAGCCAAGTTCTACTGCTTGCAGGGCTTGGACCATGGCCCCCTTGTTCAATTACATCTTTACCATCTTTCTGACTTTCACTGCCTAAGCTTGGTTGTCCTGAAACTTGCTCTGTAGACCAGGCTGGCCTCAGAATCAGAGATCTGCCAACCTCTGCCTTCCAGTCCTGAGATAAAAGGTGTGCACCACCATACCCAGTTATAAGCTTTTCTTTGATTTCTTTTCACAAATTGGAAACTCAACTGGGTGGGAGCTAACCTTGGGGTCACCACTCCCTTTATTCCATTTTTTAAATCCATTTATCTCCTTGAACATAAGATTCAGCTCTATTCCACTTCCTGGTTCTCTTTTTTTACTCAAATTTTTACATTTTGTAATTTACTTTGCTCAGCTTGCTCCTTTTCATTATAAACCTTCATTAGAGTTATCACTAATAACCACACAACAGAGTCTATACTAGGCTGTTTTGAGATTTCTTTTGCCAATGGAAATAATCCAAAACTCTTCACTTTAGCCCCAGACAAACGTTTTAGACATGGGCAAAAAGTAGCCACTTACTTCACCAAAATATCACAAAAATGATCTCTAGGCAGCATTCTAAAATTCTTCTCCTCTGAACCTCTTGAGCAAGCCCCATAGTTCACCAAATCACATTCAATGCCACTGTCTTCCATGCTCCTACTAGTATGGCCCATTAAACAGCACTTAAAGTGTTCGACTGATTTTCTAATCTACAGTCCCAAGGTCCATATACCTTCAAATAAAAACATGGTCAGGCTTATCACAATATCCCTCTCCTGGTATCAACTTCTGTTTTAGAGTTTTTGTTGCTGAGAAGAGACACCATGATCACAGCAATTCTTATAAAGAAAACATTTAATTGGGGTGGCTCACTTAGAGTTTCAGTCTATTATCATGACGGAGAGCATGGCAGCATGCAGGAAAACGTGGTACCGGATAGTAGTTGAGAGTCCTACATTTTGTAGGCAATGGAAAGTTGACTGTCACACAGGGCAGTATCCCAAGCATAGGAAAC